CTGCCATTTTAGAATCACGATGATTAGGTTTGAAGTTCAAATGATTTGATTTCACTTTAAAGCTTCAAAAGCACCCTCTGGGGCAGACTTACACAATTAATTTTTACTGAGGTCTGCTGGGTAATTTACTTTAGTCTGCGAATCTTCACTAAGGTAAGGTAATTACCACTGGGTAATTTTATGGCACTCTTTTAGTAGGAAGCAATGTGTTGGCTGGCTTCTGCTCAGATAAAACCTAGAGGGAAGTGAAGATGCTGCTTCTGGGAAACAACACATGTCTGAGACATTGAGGAGGGATGAGCAGAATTCACTCACTTCCCAAATGTGGGCCAGAAGTTGTACTTGCCCTCAAAATGTCTTTTCAGGAGTGTGCACGAGGACTTAGAGTATACGATCTTGCAAATATCGTACTGAGAAGCTTTCAAAATTGAAGTACTGCACCTGTGATTCTTTAATACAGGAACAAAGAATGCATTCTCAGTTTAGTTTGAACGCAGAGGTAGACAATGAAATGAAATATCCCTTTGAGATTTGTATTTATCACTTACAAGAAGCACTTCCTAATAATCAGTGGCAGCTAGGCTGACAAGCAAACTTCAGAGCAAAGCCACGGGGGATACAAGTCTATTTTAGGTTTACTGTTGACAGTAAGGGTCAGAGGAAAAATAAACTCAGCAAGCAGTGTCATGCTACCACAAACCTCTGCTGGCCAAGCAGAAACTAAATTACGGCCAAACCTTTCAGCACGACAGAAAGACTTGGGCAATTGGGCTGCCCTGCAGTGCACAGAGCACGACATACAGATGAACAGGATTAAGCACAAGTGAGCCATAACATAAATTACTGATAAATAAAACTCAAAAGATTGGAGGAGCTAATTATCCCACAGTCTGGAGTGGGGTACAGCATGCTTACCCCAACAGCAGCCCTATTAGTTTAATATTTGAAGTCTGCAAAATTAATCTGGAAGGCCCTGTGAAAACAAGCACTGATCATGGTCTCTTTCGAGATATCCTCCTCTTGGTCAAGCTATAAATAATATAGGTAATCTCTACTTCTGGACCTAACCATTAAAAAGAAGAAAAGAGCAGCAGAAGGACTCAGACATTATTTTTATTACATACATATCTATATATTAAAAGAAAAAATACTTTTTTATCTTAAAAGTTCAGTTCTCAGCTTCAGTTCATGTACTGGAATACTACTGGGGAAAGCTGATTTGATTACTCTATGACACTAATAAAAGCTAAGATTTGTGTAAGGGGAAGAAGAGGGAATGAAGTATATTCCATATTGATATTGCTGCTGATGGTATTACTGGCTTTCGTTTTGTTACGTTTGCTTCCTATTAAAGCTGATGATAAAAACAGCTGTGTGGACTCAAAAGTACCTCTATCTACATCTCTCCATGGACTCATTAAAAATATCTGGTTCATATAGTTTCATCGTCTAGGACAGATTTAATTTTATTCTCTCTTTCACTAGGCATAAATAAAAACCTGTCATTCCAACAATTGCGCTGTTTTCCTTTTTCTCTACCTATCATCCACTGGATGCAAACACAATCCTGTAATTCCTACTCTTCTGTTGTCTTCCTTTTCTTTGCTTTTTTTTGTTTTGATGATGCCACAAATGTTTCATCCATTGTCAGGGACTAGTTGCTTGAAACAAAGCAGACTTTTTTACTTTCAAGCATAATTATACAGGACCGAAATGGCTAGAGAATTTATTATCGCCCTTTTTTTATAACCTGTGATGATAAACTGATAATGCATAAGGAGCATCTATGTACCACAGGTAAAAAATCTTCAGATTTTAGGAAGGTGTTTAAAAAACAAGTGCAGTTCTAGTGGGTGGTGCCCAATCCTTGTGCATCCATTCTCTGCCAAACTGATGCTCATTTGTGCTGTTTTGTTTGGCCATTTTAAGGTGCTCACTTATCATTCTTATCATGGCTCTCTGCTCATGTGAAATACCCCTGGGACATTCAGAACATTTGCCCTATGGAGCAATGCCATGCTACTTGATTGTGATTTCAGAGTCTACAGAACATCAGATTAACAAATTCTCCTGACTTTTCTCATGTGGTCCCATAATTCATCTGTTTTGTCAGCACTATTTTTGAACGGCTGTCAGGTGGCACTGAGGATATATTGGGTCAGCTCACATTGGGTTCTGTGAGCATGCCTCTCATTAATACAAATAGGATGTCTCTTACATGTTTGAAGTCTTATGGATTGATGGAAAAAAGTCAGCAGCTTCCAGTGACTGCAGTAATACCCACGATCATGGTGAGCAGTACCAGAAGAATAAAATCAAGGGGCCGAGTTCCAGTGTGATGTACTCTGTTCAGTCTTTGGGATTGCTCTAGTAAATCATCCTTCTCCTTTTTTCTTCAAGGCTCTCTACTGAAGAGAGGATCATTATTTCCCTGAATCTCCCTTCTCTTTTTATAAAGTTTCCTTTAGAAACTTGCCCAGTGTAAGACTTCCGAGTATGTTGACCATGGAGATGTAGGTGGTAAGGAGAAGTACAATAATAGCCTGTTCTTAGTCTCCTTGTCACCAGCAATAAAATACTGCTTTCTCCATGGTTTTAAATGGTATTCCCACTCCCTCTTCTAAACTTGAGCTTCTTTTGGCAGATTTCTCACTTATCGTTCCATGACTCTATACTAGTGCTGGAGAGTATTAAATTGATTGGTGGAAA